ACAGAAAAGTCCAAGGGAGAACATACGAAGACGGGAGCCACAAAAGGATTCAAGACCCAGTCCACTGTTCTCTCACAACAGAGACCAAGTCCATCTCCAGGTCGACCCAGTCCAAGGGAGGGAGGGATAAATCCCACCACCCTCTCACAGCGGCTTGGCCCGATGGTCTGCCCCCTCTACTGGTGAGATGGAAGTAATGGTCCAATGTGAGCACTCGGCACCCATAATCCACCCTCTCACGGCGGATTCGATGGTCCGTCCCTCTGCCAGCAAGGTGTAAAGTGCAGGTGCCGAATGATGGTACAACAGAAACAATGCAGCACCCAGGATATAAATCCCCAATCCGCCCTCTCATGGCGGTTAGTCCAATGGTTAGCCCCCCACGGAGAGGGTTTGCAACTTAGGCGTCCTCTTGGACTCACGGCTGTCTTTAGAAGAGCACTTGACGGCTGTGGGCAGGAGGTCTTTTTATCAGGTTCACCTGATTCGCCAGTTGCATCCCTTTCTGGAACAGGACTTGTTAAATATGGTCACTCATGCCCTCGTCACTTCATGCCTGGACTACTGTAATGCTCTCTACATGGGGCTCCCCTTGAGGAGCACCCGGAGGCTCCAGCTGGTCCAGAATGCGGCCGCGTGGGTAGTTATGGGAGCAGCATGGCGCTCCCATGTGGCTCCCCTACTGCGCGAGCTGCACTGGCTCCCAGTGGTCTTCCGGGTGCGCTTCAAGGTCTTGGTTACCACCTTTAGAGCGCTCCATGGCTTAGGACCGGGGTACTTACGAGACCGCCTTCTGCCACCAATAGCCTCTCACCGCCCAGTACGCTCCCATAGAGAGGGGCTTCTCAGGGTGCCGTCAGCCAAACAGTGTCGACTGGTGGCCCCCAGGGGGAGAGCCTTTTCTGTGAGGGCACCCACCATCTGGAACGAGTTCCCCCCAGAGATACAGAAGATCCCGGATCTGCGCACTTTCCGCCGTGCCCTCAAAACATTCCTGTTTCAGCAGGCCGGCCTGGACTAACTTTCCCTTTATATTGCTTTTGATTTTGTTTTAAACTGGGATGTCTTGAATTATCTAGGACCAGAGTGTTTAGTATATTTTAATTGGTTTTTTAACGTTTGTATTACATGTATTTTTATCTTTCGCTGTTCACTGCCCTGAGTCCCTTGGGAATAGGGCAGTATATAAATTTAATAAATAAATAAATAAATGAATAAATAAATAAATAAATAAAATGGTCATTCCCCTGCCAGCAGGTACAATGTGCAAAGTGCAAAATAGCTAATGCCGTCCCAGCTCAGCCCGTGGGGCCTAGAGCCCAAGCCACCCTCTCATGGTGGTTAGGCTCTTGGTTAGTCCCCTCAGCTGGAGGGATGGAGTCATATACCAGCTCCTGTTCAGATGATATTAGTCCTCCACACAAGTAGGGGAAGAGCTCAGATGGAATGTGCGAACTATTTGTGTCGGTGAGGTGAAAACAAAAGAGGGTGCAAGTCCGAGAAGGGCGTGTTCCAAGGGGGGAGAGATGGAAAGAGGGGGGATTGCGCTTTAACCCCCCCCAGCCCCTGAGGGCACTCTAAGACACCCAAACAGAGGCCCCCCTCTCAATAACACATCCAGTCATTGCCTATCCTGGCTTGAAAAGATGGTCCTCAGGCCACATTAGCGCCCCTCATCAAGGCCATAGGGCGCTCCTCTCCCCGCCAAGAGCCAGCCGGAAGTCTTCGCAGTTGCCGCCATTGCCATCCCCCACTGCCATGCAGAAATCCCGGCAGCGTCCCTGAGATTTTTCCAGGGAACTGGCAGCCCCAACAGCCCCGGAAGCAGCTCAAACAAGCCAGGGCCTGGGGCAATGTCCACGTGATAGGCGCCCCCAGCGCAATGCCGCTGCTGCTGCTCCCACTCCCGGAGAGCTCGAGGGGAAAAACACCGCCCTGCTGCCTCTCAGCTGCTGCAGGCTTCTGAGCCTCGCCGACACTGCGCTGTCTGCCCCCGCCGCGATGTTCAAAGGGGAGCAGAAAACCATCCCCTGATTGGCAGGACGTTCCCCCAACCGGACCAGGGTCGCCAGGTCTTCAAGGCGACCCTCAAAGGGTCCCAAAAGGTAGGTCGGTGCCCATCCTCATGCCGCGATCTCAGCTAGCGCCGCCATCTTGCGCATGTGTCCACTTTTTTATATACAATACCATACAGCATAAGCCAGAACCAGAACTTAGAATCCAGAAGTACAGAATCAATAATCACAAAAGCTATATAATACAGAGGCTGTATAATCACAGAAGCACTCATATATATGTACAGATCAGTGAACCTAAGCCATGCCCAGGGTCCGAGCGATCTGGGTCACCAAACAGTCACCATTGGCTGACCTGTTACCATATCTATTCCAATTCATGAACCCTTATATACTGACAAGAACGGATGTGGATTCACAATGGGTGGGACCTGAAGTTAGTAGAAACAATCAAGCAGATGCTTCCCTCTGAAAATATAACTTAAAATAACTACATACTGTAAATAAACATGGCTACTTTCAGATTTCCAATTTCCAATTCACTGGTCTGTAAAGCCAAGCTGAAGTAAGATAATAAGCATAGTCGCAGTTTCATTTAGTCAACCTTTGCTAAACATCTGAGTTGCTGGTCTCAATTTTGGACCCTAAATGGGGACTACTTGTAATGTAGTTCAGAGGTGGTATTCAGCTGGTTCACACTGGTTTGGGCGAACCAGTAGTGACAATTTGGTCTGGGTCGCTGAACCAGTAGTGATTTCTGGCTGGCCATGCCCCTCTCCCAGTCACCCGGTTACCACTTGCTCGCCCCTTCCAGCTGCTTGACGTTCGCTCGCCCCTTCTGGCTGCTTGATGCTCACTCACCCCTACCAGCCCCTCGATGCTTGCCCCATCCACCCCCACCCTTTATATGTTGCCTTCACCATGCAGCCCAGCTAATCACCTTGCCAGTTGCCTCGCTGATGCCCACTCAGCCAGAAGTCCGAGCGGAGCGGTGCAGCAGGCAATGAGGTGCCCCTGCGCGGCTGACATATAGAACAAGGTGGAGGGTGGCGCATTGGAGAAGCGGAGCCGGAGGTCGGTAATTTTTGCTGCAAGAAGCCTGCAGCTGCCGCATCTTTTTTTTAGGCTTCTCCTCCCAGCTGCCGCCTCTTTGCCAGCCAGAACCGAGCCGGCAGCAGTGGCTGGCTGGAGGCTTCTTGTGCCGAAAACTACTGGAGGTCTCGAACACGCCGAAAAATCGCTGCAGTTGCTGCCCTGTTCTTTGACAGGATGGTGACTGCAGCAGCTTTTTTGACACGTTCGAGACCTCTGGTAGTTTTCGGCAGCCTCCAGCCAGCTGCTGCAGCCACTTAGTGGCTCTCAAAAAGGCTGGAAATTTTTTTCCTACTGGGTTCTGTGAGCGTGGCTTGGGGGGGGTGTCATGTGACTGAGTGGGCATGACCATGAGTGATGTCAAGTTGGCCATGCCCACTCAGTCACATGATCACTCCTACCAGGCCATGCCCACAGAACCAGTACTGGAAAAATTTGAATCCCACCACTGCTGTGGTTCATTCAATAACTATTGCTATTATTATGCTTTCTCCAATCTGGTTTCTTTCAGAAACCCCAGAGAGAGAAAAAGAGAGAGATCAAATTTTGAAGTGGATGCCATATTTCTCAAGAGTGTGTTAGTGACACTAGGCTTATGATACCATTCAGACAGCCTTTGAAAAAATGAGAATTGTTTATCTATGGTTTTTAGAACACTGTTATAAATGGCTTAGTTTGAATATATTCCTATGGCAAAAATAAAATGTATTGTGGCTTAGCATTACCTGTGAATTTATGATAATATATATGTTTCAGGACAGGAGAAGAAAAGGGATACTTTTTCCTTTTCTACCAGCCCATAAGAAGTGTCTGATTTTTAAGTAACAGTGTCAGCCCTAAGCCAGGGTTTAACACAGAGTTTGGAGACGGGGACTGCTTTTCCGCATTTCTAATACTCTTCTTAAGATATATTTTAGGAAGTATATCTGGACTCAAGAAAGTTCATTCATTATAAAAAAACATGTATTGACAAGTTCTCAATTATATACCCATAGCTCTGCTATTGTGGATGGCCCATATTGCTTCCAGAATGATAGGTACATAAAATCCTTATCCATATATACTGTGGGTGAAAATTATGTAGGTATATATGTTTTTATACTAAATATAAACATAAATAAATATAAATATAGTAACACAGCATATACAACCCAAACCCTAAAATATTTTCAATATTATCCTTGTTTAAAGTCTGTAGAGATTCTCAGTCATCCAGGCCATGGTTGTACCAAAGGAGGCAACTGGACTTTCTTGTTTTTTCTTTGAAGATGTTTTGCTTCTTATCCAAGAAGCTTCTTCAGCTCTGACAGGATAGTGGGAAATGGAAGGATTTATATTCCTTTCATTTATATTCCTTTCTGAAAGGAATATAAATCCTTCCCTCTTTTGTTTTCTTTCAGGTGGACTTCCCGTTTTTCTAGGAGGGAGGACGGCATGTTAGGTCCCAGATATTTCTACAGGGACCCTGGCATTTTGGTGGAAGGAAGGAGGGAGGAATGGAGTGATCTGTATATGAAGTTTCTGTTTCTGTTTTTTGCATTACTGTGTTAATCTCTATATGAAGTTTCTGTTTCCCTGCAATGATGTAGTGTGGGAGGGGTTTGGTTAGCATTGCTTTAAATAGCTGATTTTAAGTGAGAAGCTTCAGTTCTTGTCTAGATTTCATTATCACAAACCTTTCAATAAAAGCTCCTTTTGGAACAACTGCAGGTTCAAGAGTCCTGCTTTCTTGGGAAAATTGGAGAGGCAAGACCTTACATGTACATGCATGAACAATATACTATTTGCCAAACTGTTAAGCCCTTGGTTTACACGAGGATTTTCATGTAATCTAAAACTTTTAAATATAATCAAACAATACTGCATGAAAACTTGAATTAAATGAGTGCCTACCGTGATACCAAGATTTCTTCAGGTCGTTCTCTTTCTAAAAGATGCTGGAAATAATTTTCTACAGCCAAAGCAGTTAATGTTTTCTTGAGGTATGGGTAGTAAAGGGGGTGGCGTGCTATGACACCTGTTATAAACAAACAGAACACAGTTACTTGTTATTCTGCATGGATCACTAAACAATGTTAATTTTCTTACAAAAAAATCATTCAGTCCACATTATTTTAAACTTCAGCTACTCAAGAGTAAACCTATATATCTCTGAAGCACCAACTTCCGTGTTTTCCTGAAAATAAGACCCTGTCTTATATTTTTTTGAACCCTGAAATAAGCACTTGGCCTTATTGCCATGCACTCAAAAGCCCAATTGGGCTTGACTTCCGGTTGGCGCCGTGGAGACACAGACGGGGAAATGGCGAGCTCCACTGAGCTCTGCCAAATCCCCTCTGCTAAACTGCTGCCGATAGGTCTGCGGACCTCCCCTGTCTTGTAGGGACAGGGGGACAAGAAGGAACGCCTTGGGCGGCCGAGAGGAACAGGCAGGTTCCTCGGGGCCGGAGGCTTCTCCTTCATGTCAGCGGCAGCGGAACGGCAGCCATGGCGGCTGCCCTGAAACCGCGGCAACCAGGAACAAGGATTGTGCTGGAGGAAGAAGATGAAGAAAGAGAAAAAATCAAGAAGCCGGGTGAGTGACACCAACCCAGGCAATATAACGTACCTATTTGGAATTCTTGGAAAATAAGACCCCAAAATTAAAAGCGGCTGCTGGACTGCGGGGCTTAAAGATTGAAAAGAAAAAAAAAATGGGTAAAAGACCCAAATTGAATTTTGTTGCAGTAAACTTAAACTGGATGATTTGGTATTAATAAATCTCTGAAATTTGACTGTGCCTTTAACTGGAGTGGAGAGGAGAAATGGATATTCCTGAGAATTAATGCCTCTAAAAGAAAATGAAGCTAATGAAGATAGACAGATGGATGGCTACAAAATAGCCATGGAGTCTGCAGTGATTAAGCAGAGAAGTGGATTGAAGAGATTTCCCTTTCTGGATGGAAAAGAAACATGTTAATTGGCTTTTTACCTTGGATTACTTGAAATTAATATTGGATATAAGGATTTTGGAGATTCCTACTCTGTCCCAGATGATTTTAAGAAAGAAGAAAGAAAGAACATTTTGGATTTTAACAATGGAGACTGACAAAACTAGGTGTGACGTAGTTAACAAAGACAGGAAGCTGATGCACTACGCTTGGATCAGACATTTAAAAAGTTTTAAAGGGACATACAGAAATTCTTTATTTTGAACTGATGAACCTTGAAATACAGCACTTTGGAGAGGAAAAGGAAGAAAAAGAAGAATTAAAGTGGATAAATTTAAATGTGACTAACTGAAATGTAAAGTTTAAAAGCCTATGTATATATGATAAAGTTTAAAAGCCTAGGTATATATGATTTTTGGATAAAAACAGGAAGGGTTGTGAAATAATAAAAATAGAAAATAAGAGGTGGCTATTAAAATAGTGGATGATATCAAGGGGATAAAAATAATAAAGAAGAATATATTTTGAGGCAGGAAAATTTTAAGAAAATGTACCGTTTGATGTAATACGTTTTAATTTTAATTTGCAAACAAATGTTAAACTGATGAATAAGGATTGATTGAACAAAATACAAGATACACAGATGCTAGTGATTAGTCTTGAATTAAGGTAATACAAGTTGGAAATGATGACCATTATGAAATATACTGAGATTTAAATTGAAAGAGCAGGATGGAAAAATGATATAAAACAGATAATTATATTACAGTTAAAATGTGTGGGATGGATACCAACTAGATAAGAGTTTGAGACTCGGTGGAAATACGTTGGAAATTAATTCAAAATGCTGGAAACAGCCAAACAAATAGGAGGAGAGTTGGAGGAGACTATGCTGGAAATCAGCCAAACAATGTAGGGAGTTAAGGAGGAGACTATGCTGGAAATCAGCCCACAAAATGCTGGAAACAGTCAAACAAATAGGAGGAGAGTTGGAGGAGATTGAGGAACTATTCTGAAATCAACTAAATAGTTGGTGTTTTGGAGGGGATCAAGCTGAGAATTAATCAAATAGAACAAGCTGGAAGATAGTTAAATATTAGAGGGAGATATAGTGGAAAATATATTAGAAATTGGAGTAAATAAAATATGCCTTTGTGAGAAATCTGTGTAATATGTAAATTGGGAGAAAAAAAAAACTAAGGTAAACTGATTTGAGGATAAGGGTCAAAGGATTAAAATTAGACAAAATGTTGTTTTATAAAATATAATAAAAATGGAGTGGTATTTGAATTGAAACTAAGAATAAATGGTGATAAAATTGTAAGGTAAACACTTAACAAGAGGTTAGAATATTGTAAAAATTATTTTGATATGACTTGTTATAAGATATAAGGTAAAGAAGAATAAAGATATGTTTAGAATTGTTATGCAGATGTAAAAATGAGTGAAAGTGAATTTGAAACTAATTTTGGATAGATATAATGGATTTATATAGATGAAAATGTTAAGTTTGAGGTAAAATTGGTTTTTTCTTAAGTTTTGAATTTCTTTTTTATCTTTTTTTGTTTATTTATAAAAGATGTAATGGAAATTGTGAATTGAGCTTGTGAAAGGAATGTAAGCATGGTAACCATCTATGACCGGATTGAGATTTTTGCTCTTGAAAGTTATGTTTTTATGTTTAAATTTGAAAAAATAAATAAAAAATATTTACAAAAAAAAAAAAAAAAAGCCCGATTGGGCTTATTATCAGGTGATGTCTTATTTTGGGGGAAACAGGGTAGGACCTGTCCGGATAATAAGCCCAATTGGGCTTTCAAGTGCATGCGCTAAAATAAGCCCCCCTGAAAATAACCCTCCAAATACTTAGACACATGGGCAACTGCCACGCAAACAACACAACGTGAGGTGAAGCTGGAGAGGGGGGGAAAGGGAGGGGGAATATGCCCCACGTGCTCCACATGCACCTGCCATCCATGCGGAACAACTTCGTGGAGGCTGCTCCTGCAAACCCTAGCTCGCATGCCCCTTCTCTTAGTGGTGGCCGCAAAGAGTGGCCACAAAAAATCTCTTGCCAGCCCTAGCCCTGTCGACCTGGGACTAGGGGGAGGGGAGGGGGACTGGTGCAGGAGCTCTTTTTTATTTATTATCAAATTTATAGACCGCCCTTCTCCCGAAGGACTCAAGGCGGTGTACAGCCAAAGTAAAAAACATAGATACAAACATTAAAAACAATTTAAAAGATATATATAAATTTGGCCCCAAAGTTAAAAAACAGTAACAAAACATATTAAAAACATTTAAAAAGCATTAAGCCAGCCCGGCTTGCTGAAAAAGGAAGGTCTTCAGGGCACTGCGGAAGGCACCGAGGTCTTGAATTCTTCGTATCTCTGGGGGCAGTTGATTCCAGAGAGCAGGTGCCCCCACAGAGAAGGCCCTCCCCTTGGGCCCTACATTGCTTGGCCGATGGCACCCTGAGGAGGCCCTCTCTGTGGGAGCGCACCGGTCGGTGGGAGGTCATTGGTGGCAGCAGACAGTCTCGAAGGTATCCAGGTTCTATGCCATGGAGCGCTTTAAAGGTGATAATCAACACCTTGAAGCGCACCCGGAAGACCACTGGGAGCCAGTGCAGCTCACGCAGGAGAGGTGTTATGTGGGAGCGCCATGCAGCTCCCGTCACTACCCGCGCGGCCGCATTCTGGACCAGCTGAAGTCTCCAGGTGCTCTTCAAGGGGAGCCCCATGTAGAGAGCGTTGCCGTAGTCCAGGCGAGAGGTGACGAGGGCATGAGTGACTGTGCACAAGGAATCCTGATCTAGGAAGGGCCGCAACTGGCGGATCAGGCGAACCTGATAAAAAGTCCCCCTGGTAACAGCCATCAGATGTTCCTCCAAGGACAGCTGTGTATCCAGGAGGATGCCCAAGTTGCGAGCCCTCTCCATGGGGGCCAACGACTTACCTCCAATAGTCAGTGATGGGGTCAACTGACTATATCGGGATGCCGGGAACCACAGCCACTCAGTCTTGGATGGGTTGAGCCTGAGCCTGTTCCTCCCCATCCAGATCCGCACGGCCTCCAGGCACCGGGACATCACTTCAAGGGCATCATTGGGGTGGCCCGGGATGGAAATGTATAGCTGGGTGTCGTCAGCGTACTGGTGGTACTTCACCCCGAAGCCACAGATGATCTCACCCAGCGGCTTCACATAAATGTTGAACAGAAGGGGCGAGAGAACCAACCCCTGAGGCACCCCACATATGAGGCATCTCGAGGTCGACCTCTGCCCCCCTGCCAACACAAACTGCGACCAGTCCAAGAGAAAGGAGAACCACCGTAGTACAGTGCCTCCCACCCCCAACTCTTCCAACCGGTGCAGCATGATACCATGGTCGATGGTATCAAAAGACGCTGAGAGGTCTAACAGGACCAGAACAGAGGAGCAACCCCTGTCCCGAGCCCCCCAGAGATCGTCTACCTATGCGACCAATGCCGTTTCCGTGCTATACCCGGGCCTGAAGCCCGACTGGAATGGATCTAGATAAGATGTTTCCTCCAGGTATTGTGGAAACTGTCATGCAACCACACTCTCAACAACCTTCGCAACAAAGCGAAGGTTGGAGACAGGACGATAGTTGGCTAACACAGCCGGGTCCAGGGAAGGCTTCTTGAGGAGAGGCCTCACCACCGCCTCTTTCACTCTGAGCAGTGGCCGGTGCAGGCTGTCTGCGCAGCCATGAAGTGGGATCGGCGTTCTTGCCTGTGAGGATTGGGTCAGAGCCACTGCTGCTGCTGCCCACGATCAGCAGGCCAGATTCAGTGAGCTGGACGCACAGCTTCCATTCGGGGGAAGAAGAGAGAGGAGGCGCTGCGAGAGAGCCCATTTCTCACATTCTTCTCCTCCCACATGGCGGCAGCGTATTCAGCTCCCCGAATCTGGCTTTCTGATCTCGGCCGGCGAGGGGGACGGGCAGGTGGGGAGGGGTGGGGTGGCGGAGAAATGAGACGCATGTAGCAAGACGGGGCTCCCCTTGCTGTCTCTTCTCCCATCCCTTGCCAGACAGGAGCTGGAAGTCAGGTAAGACATGGCAGAGAAGCGAGATGCGTGTCTTACCTGACTTCCAGCTCCTGCCATGCCTGGCGAGGGGTGGGAGAAGAGACAGCAAGGGGATCCCCCTCTTGCTCCATGCGTCATGCTTCTCCGCTGCCCCACCCCTCCCCACCTGCCACTTCCCCTCACCACCCGAGATCGGAAAGCCAGATTCGTGGAGCTGAACCCGCTGCCCGGGAAAAAAAGAACGTGAGAAATGGGCTTTCTTGCAATGCCTCCTCTCTTCTTCCGAGTGGCAGTGGTGCGTCCAGCTCACCGAATCTGGCCTGCTGATCTCAGGTGGCAGCAGCAGTGGCTCTGACCTGATCCTCGCCGGCAATGCTGCAGGCAAGAACTGGCCACACCGATCCCGCTTCATGGCTGCGCAGAGAGCCTGCACCAGCCATTGCTCTGAGCTTCAGTGCCAATCCTCCTTCCCCCAGTCCCAGGTTGACAGGTCTAGGGCTGGCAAGAGTTTATTTGCGTCTGCCACTAGGAGAAGGGGCGCGCAAGCTAGGGTTTGCAGGAGCAGCCTCCGCGAGACCATTCCACGTGGATGGCAGGTGCATGTGGAGCACATGGAGCATGTTCCCCCCTTCACCTCCCCACCTCACCTCCTCACATCGTGCTGTTTGCACGGGAAGCAAGAAAAAACTGCCACGATTGCTGGAGGTAGCGGCCTGAACGGCACCGGCGAAGCAACTGGTCAGCGCTCCAGCACCAGTCACCCTGCCTCAGGCTGAGGTTTAGGGGCCTCCTCTACCTCAAAAATAATAAGACCCCCGATAATAAGGCCAAGGCCATATTTTGGGGGTCAAAAGAAAATAAGACCCTGTCTTATTTTCGGAGAAACATGGTAGTATTTGTTTAATTAATAATTTACCTCAATTGTTTCAGTAAATCTTGGTGACATACATGTTAAAACAATTAAAAACAATATCCAGCAAAAAACAAAACAAATCCACAAAAAGCCAAAATATATTATGAATGTTAAAATATACTGCTCAAAAAAATAAAGGGAACACAAGCAGAAGACATCCAAGATCTGAATGAATGAAATGGCCTTATTAAATACTTTGTTCGTTACATACAGTAGTTTTGTGTTCCCTTTAGTTGTTTGAGCAGTGTATAAACTACTGTATGTAACAAGAGATTATCAGAGATGGCCACGCTCGTATTTACTGGACCTAAAAATAATCTTAGCAATTAATGCAACACTGTAGGCATTACTTGTTCAGTGACCATTCAAAGTTACAATGATGTGAATGAGTAATACTTATAAATGGTACTCATACCACCCAGTGATAATGTGATTATGATTCAGGCACTTTGCAACTATCTTGCACTTATAAGGTTTACAGAGTCCCATAGTCATATGATCACAATTCGTGACCTTTCCTGGTAGCTTTCCACAAGCAAACTCAATGAGGAAGCTGGCAGGAAAGCTGAGTCACTCCCGTCACTTTTTCTCCCAAGGAGTACGACTACAGGGTGCAAGATCCCAAGAATCTCAAACAGTGTAGCTTCTACACTCATCTACATTCCATAGACATGTTCACCCATAGCAACCATCTTGCTTAGGGCCCCACCCATGCTCTATAACACCCACCTGCAGCCCTCACTGACCTGCCCACACTCTGTATCTCTGTAGCTGACCTCTGGCCCCCACAACCCACACATCCTTCTGTGCTTATTGCTTGGGACTCCCACCTGCTTAACAATTTATTTGGTTTTAGGGTTACAATGGCAACTGGGACTGCTGCTAAATGTTGCTAAATGATGCAGTTAATGATATTGTGCTATATGATATCACTTAGTGATGGCATGCACACTCCCAATTGCCATCTTAACCCGAGGACTACCTGTATTAGGAAAAGAGATATATTTTATTTGATGCCTTTCAAGCCTTCCTGATATTAGGACTAGTAAAAAAAGTTGTCAATAGATCACTATTTCACAAATCTACAAATACTGAGAAATAATACCCTGCTTCCCCCAAAATAAGACACCCCCTGATAATAAGCCCAATCGGGCTTTTGAGTGCATGACAATAAGGCCAAGCACTTATTTCAGGGTTCAAAAAAATATAAGACAGGGTCTTATTTTCAGGGAAACACGGTAATGAGTGCAAAGTATCTCCTAGAGTGGAAAGGCAGCCCTCTTGTTACCTTAGAAAAGAAAGACCCAGCAATGGGAACAGTGGAAAATGGGAAATGTTACAATCTCCCATGCAACAGTAACATTACCTATGAAGACTAAAATGCAAACAAACGAAAGCATTTTACAAATAATTTTGTTAATTTCCACAGCAATAGAAAATACATTTTGAATTGTTAAATAATATTTCATGATGAAAGGATCGTGTAAATATTTCATTTTCTCCAATTCATTTTTATGAATTATTGTACTGCATGTTTGTACAATGAAAGAGACCAAATCAGTATGCAAAAGGACTAGCTGATTTATTACAATCAATCAAATGGAACAATAACAAACACATATTCTAAAAAACATAAATTTGAAATACAGTATGAAAAACAGCTTGATTGTAGAACAGTTGATGCCCTACAAATATCTGGATAAGGGGCATGACTTTAACTCTCTTTTAAAACAAGACAGCATTATAGTTCTTTTGAAAGATGTTTTCATAATGAGACACTGTCACCAAGAAGGTCCTATTCCTGGCTACTGAACTCAATTCATTCTGATCATATGTGATTACAAATAGGAATTAGGTGATTTTAGTATGTGGGTTGTGTGATCTTAGGATAGCACCTGACTGATCTTGTTTTGGCTAAACAGGATTGGGCTTTGTTAGTACTTGAATGGAAAATCAGGGGTGCAGTCTGAATTAGGAAGTCAAACGATAAGGCAGTGATTATTTCATACAGTTGCCAAAAAACTGCATGACATTATCCACAAAATTACGTTACGTTTGGCTCAGAGAAGATGAGAAGTATTTTATGAGTAGTGAAGAATGTTAAGTTAGGCAATCTTTTAACTACTTTGAGTATAAATGTTTCTCTTTATGTTTAAACTTTTTAAAAAAGAGAAATGAAAAGTGGGACCCAGAGGACAACTAAAACCCAACCATCAAACCTTTTATTATGAAAAGTAACAAAAACACGAACTGGTACATTTAAAAAAATATTTTATCGTTTTCTTACATCACTTTGGAATCACAGTTATAACTACAGAAAGAATAATTACAGCATAATACTTATGTGTATTTTTAATTAGAAGTTCTTTTTTAAAATAGGATTGACAAATACCTATATTTGCTGTGTTGCCTTTGTCTCCACTTCTTGTATAAGCAAGATCTTCCAGACGATATACATGAGGACCACTTGGTAGATCTATATAAAATGAGACAGATTATTGCTTCCTCAAGTGCAACAATAAAATCGGATTTTTAGAAAGATTCTATTTAAGTGTGTTCATACCTCATTTATAGAGTTTTAATTTTGCAGGATATTCTACAGAAGCAGAGATAAGAGGTATGGGTAATTATAATTCCTACTCCCATTTTTTCAGATCACTCAAGGCACTCTGATTTTCAATCAACAGTTCAGAGCAGTTTACAAAAGAATGAGCTCAATACCTAGATTCAGGATCTTAAAATTTATTTTCTAGCCACAAGAAGCAAAGCTTCATTATCTCCTTTCACTGAAGTCAATGAGAAGGAAAATATCCAGTGAAAAGTTAACAAAGCTTTGGGCTCCAGTCCAATGATGTGCCAGGAGAGTGATAGGACTTGGATAAGGTGGGTTGCATATTCATCCCTTTCTCTGAAACATGTATTTTAGGGTGTATTACCAGAAGTAATACCACCAGGATACATTTATGTCCACAAAATTTTCAATGGTTGCCAGAAAGATATGCTATTGATTGGCAAACTTTTTCTCCACCAACTGTAAACTACTGTGAGTCTGATGATTTGGTAGCGTACAACTTTATGTAACAATCAATAAATCAGTAGAGCACTTTTCCCCATCATGTCTATTATCTGATTACGATTGATTCCTTAGCAGATAACTAGTTTACAGTACTGTATTTTACAGGTAAACTCACTTCCTCCTCCAGGTTTCAAATATTAAAGATTAGGGTGTGGTGGAAAGGTGAACTAGTGCAGTCTTGTAATTTATGTCTTAATAGTTTCAAAAAGCCAATTGAGTTTAACTGGAAAGTCTTGGGACATTAGTCTAACTCTTGGGAGAGAAAAGTAAATGCACTATTTTATTTATAATTTAAAGATAAAATGAACAATATTAGCATGTAGTTATTTTGATAGAATGTTATTCTTCAATAGTTTTTCAAGCCTCAGTAATATACTAGCTATGTATAAACATTTTTTTCAGGAACTGTTTGCTCTGTAGTCCCTGGCAGTATTTGGATCATTTTAAAACTGATTTTTCTTTTACTAGCTTCTCCCATCATACAAAATATGGTTCTGTTCTGTTATCAAATTTATTCTCTTGGTGGACAGGTAATAAAATCCCAAGAGACTTTATATAATTTCTTTCCAACATTTCTTTCTTAGAAAAATAAAAATGGATAAAAATATTGTTGCAATATTTTCAGGATCAGACTCAATAAGATTAGTAAGAGTTAAAGGTTTAAATATATTTCCTTTTATTTACAATAGGCATTCTATATTCACTGAATATTCACAGATAGAAGCGAGGAAAAGGGTGCATGTAGCTCCTTATATATACAATGGGTGGAGCTATATGTGGGAGTGGTGAATTATGAATACATTAAGAAGTGGAGAATAAGTTAACCCCTGATACCCCGTTCATATACTATTTACACATTAGAGAATAAGGCATTTACATCTGACAAATCCCCCTCTAAATGCCGATTCGTTATGCAACACCAATTACATTCAGATTCAGGACAATACAAAACATACAACTTAGAAGTTAAATATTTATGTTGCTTAGAAGGTAAAGGCTTTGTCAATATGTCAGCTAATTGTTCTGAAGTATCACAATGCACTGCTCTGATAAATCCATCCTGAGATAATTGTCTCACATGTTTAAATTTTATATCTATGTATCTGGACCTTTGTCCAATAGCATCAGATCTAGATATTTCAATGGCTGCTTTATTGTCTTCATGCATAACAAAAGGCAAAGCAGGTTTTTTCCAAACATCTGAAATTAAATCATTAAACCATACAAGGTTATTTGCAGCTTTGGATAAACAAACATATTCCGCTTCTGTAGTTGAAGTGGCCACTAGTTCCTGTTTACCAGTGTACCAGTAAACTGGACAGTCATTTAAGAGGAATATATAACCAGATGTACTTTTTCTACATGAGGTGTCTCCAGCCCAATCCGCATCTGCGTAACATGTAAGCTTTGGTTCTTTATTGTCATTAGGTTCTAACATTAAACAAAAGTCTAGTGTACTTTTCAGATATCTTAAAATTCTTTTAACAGCTTCCCAGTGATACATTGTTGGTTTGCTGACATGTCTGGATAATAAATTGAGTGGTAAGGCGATATCTGGTCTTGTCCAATTAGATATATAAAGAAGTGAACCTATGATTGATCTATAAAATGTGTTATCCTTGAATTCGGGGGAAGATTCATCAGTATTTCTTAGAAAATCAGTTTGCATAGGAGTATCACAAGGTTTGGCATTGTTTAAATTGCATTTATTTAAAAGTTCTATGATCTTATCTCTCTGAGTAAGTTTGAATCCCCTTCTAGTCTTATTAATTTGAACACCAAGATATTTGTTTACTTTGCCTAGGGATTTTAACGAGAAATGTTCATTTAGCTTAGTTACAAAAGTTTCTCTTCTCTCTTTATGTTTTCCTATGTATAAAATGTCATCCACATAAATCAATACAAATTCAATGTAATCATCACCCTTTTTGACAAAGAAACAGTTATCAGCAGTGGTAGCGTTGAAGTTCATGGTTTTAAGTACTTTTACTAAACAATCATACCATCGTTTACCAGATTGTTTTAACCCGTATAAACTCTTGTTTAACAACCAAATCTCATTTTTGTTTGTGTATTGACTGTGAGGTGCTCTTACGTATATTTCCTTATCTAGTTTTGCGTGTAGATACGCAGTCTGTATGTCATATTGAAATACATCAAGATTGAGTGCTGATGCTACCACTAGAGCTGTTTTGACACTCTCTGTTCTTACTGTGGGGGAATACGTGTCAGTATAGTCCTCCGGATATTTCTGTGCATAACCTTGTGCAACTAGTCTGGCTTTGTATAGAGTATTGCCTCCCTCTAAGTTCTTAATTTTATATATCCACCTGGTACCAATAATTGTTTTATCTTTAGGTGCAATTGCAGGTGTAAATACATTTAATCCTTGTAAACTTTCCATCTCCTTTTTCATCGCTAATTCCCATTTCTCTTTTTCTTCACGAGGGAGTTTTAACACTTCCTCATATGTATTAGGTGTTGTTGGCTCACCATCCATGTGCATTATATAATCCTTGTATTTATTTGGCATTTGATTTCTGGTGTTTCTAATAGTTTTTTCAGGTTTACTATCGTTATCATGCAAATATCTTGCTTCCTTTTTTGTTAGTGTGTCTGTCTTTATTTTGTGTTGGCTATTTGTCCAAGTTTTGGTTTTGTTTTTATATTTGTTGATATTTTGCTTTTCTATGGTCCCTTTCTCATGAGATTTTGTATCTTTGTATTTATTTGGAAATATTTCATTAAGATGTAATTTAGACCAGTTGGCCTGTTCATGGAACACAGCTGTTCTGGATACTATAAATTTGTTATTATTATCAATGAATCTGTACCCTTTAGTGCCAGTCTCATATCCCATAAATCTGAGTCTTCTGGATACGTTTTCTCCCTTTCTTCTTAATTGCTTAGGTATGTGTACGTCTGCAGTGACTCCGAATATGTGCATGTGTGCTAATTTTGGTTTCCTATTATACATCACTTCATATGGTGTCTTATTTACAATGCTGGACCAGGTTCTATTTTGTGTGTAATTTGAATAATGTAAGGCTTCTGACCAGAATTGTTTGCTTAAGCCAGCATCTTCCAATGTGCATCTAATCATGGTTTGTAATGTTGAATTCTTCCTCTCTGCAATCCCGTTCTGGAACGCAGAAAATGGACTAGATGTGTAATGTAACATTCCTTTGTCTTTTAACCATTGGGAGAATTCTTTAGACATGAATTCACATCCCCTATCTGTCATGATTTGTTTTATTTTGATATTGTGTTGTGTTTCTATGCGTTTGTAAAATTCTTTAAATTTTTGAAAGGTTTCATCTTTGTGTTTTAATGTATAAACAAATCCATAGCGGCTATAATCGTCTACTATTGTCAAGAAGTAACGTTTTCTATAAGTGATTGATGGAGTTAATGGACCAACTAAGTCCATGTGTACTAAATCAAAAATTTTGTTAGTTGATCTAGTAGATTTTCTTGGCCTGGGACTAGTTTTTAGTTTTGTAGATTTACATACTGAGCATTCCAAATAGTTTTCACAATTTTTTATTTTAACACCTTCTGCGTGTTCAGTCATTTTTTGTACTACAGGAAAACTGGCATGTCCTAACTTCCTATGTAAGATGTGAGCACACTCATCATGAATTGGCTTACCTATTTTTGGTTTTTTTTCATTGTGTGCATCTATGTGATCATGAGATATTTTACATTCATCATTATCACTGTTGCTAATATTTTCATCATCTACTTCAATACAATCTCCCATATTTGAATCAATGTTATGCAGCCATTTTTCCTTTGTTATCAGATAAGGTAGGCCTCCTTTAATCATCACAGTGCCTATATTTATTTTATTCTTCTCTAAAGTCGCTTTTCCTTTTGAAAAAACAATGTTAATGTCAGAATCTCTACTTAGTTTTATGGCACTTAGTATGTTATGAGGTATTTCAGGTATTAGCAATACCCCCTCTATTTTTCCTAGACCAGGCAGGGTTACATTCCCTCTACCTAATACTTGAACCTTTTCTTGGTTAGCTACCTTTATTACAAATTTATCTTCTGTAAATGAAGACAATATATTTTTGTTATTAGTGGTGTGATTAGTTGCTCCAGAATCAATAAGCCAATTATTGTTCTCATTTTGCTGTATGTTAGTGTTGTCTTGTTTATTTAACCTATTCAGTGAGCCAGATTTTCTATCCTTTGAATTATCTCTGCCCCCTCTATTCTCTTTGTAATTTGGTGGGCTTCTATATCTATGTCTATCTATGGAAGACTGTCTATAATTGTATTTGTTCCTATATTCTGACCTATGTCTTTCCTTTGAAATCTTGGGGCAATCTCTTCTATTGTGTTCCCTGGATCCACAATTGTGACATTTAAATGTTTCATTATATTTTTCT